AAAAAAAAAAAAAAAAAGATGGACCTTGAAGTCCAAGCTGGATAGGGAAGAAAATGAAGACCAGAGAACTTTCAGGTTCCCAGTAATGAATGAAATCATTAATTGTTAAGCCACTTGTGAGTATTTATGTGCTATGCAAAGGAATTGGTTGGCAGCCTGAGACAGTGTCGAAGACAGACCCAGCTAATGGTTTCACAGACCTTAAAATTGAAAGTGGGGACAGATATTAAGGGAATCACTGGCATAAAATATTATATACTGGCAATTGTGGTAGCACTATGGCAAGGGTGAAGGAGAAGACAGAGGCTCCACGAGCAGCTGAGTGAGAACTGGAAGGACGGAATGTGCTGTGAGAGCGTGGGGTGTCACACTCCAGGAGCAGTGGTTCTTGACAAGGACAGGAAGGCACCCAATGGGGAGGGAGTGGAGTGGGGTGTTCAGATTTCAGCCAGGAAACTGGGGGTCCTCATGAGGCTGACGGTACGGTAGTGTCCATAGCCAGACGCATCCCTGTGGGCACTGAAGCCCAGAATGATAGAAGGATTGGAGGTGAAAAGAGAGCAGTAAGCTAGCTGAGGAAGACAGGGTGAGCACTGTTGTCCCTGGTAATTTTAGGGCTGCAAGTTGGTGCCTGAGAGCATGTCATTTACAAGCCGGGAATCGGATCTCGTTTTTCTGGGTTCAAGGCCAAAGTTACATCTACTTGCTTTACTCAGCTCTCAGAGCATCTTTCTGCCGAATGAAAAGCAATGAAGTCAAATTTTAAGGTGAGGAAGAAAGAGTATGGCAGATTTTACTGCCAGGAGAGAAGAAAAAGAAACCAAGGATGGGTTGCTGCCATTGCAGGGTGGGCAGCATGGCACTGGGAGAAGCGTCAGAAGATCTGCCTTTAATCGTGCATTTTTTCTTGGTATTATTGAATCTTTTTACTGTGTGTATTTATTCCCTATTGAAAAACAAAAGAAATTTATTGCACAATGTTAATTGTGCTTTCTGGCACTCAACAAACATTTACTGAATAAAATTAGCACACAGAATGTATTTTTGGCATTTGGCATACTTGAAAATTCCCGATTAGTACAGGAATGGTTTTCTTTGTGTACATTTTCCTTTTATAACTTATTTTGAGCTAGACTCTTGCTACAGATTGCAAAACAGACTAGACCTGAACCCGGTCACCCTCGCCAGTTATTGCTGAGGCAGAACTCGGAAAGTGCTGTGTGAACCAGGGCTCCCTCGTGGGTGCTTCCACAGAAGGGGGCGCGTGTGACAGGACCAGGTCTACAGTTAAAAGAAGTCGGTAGATTACTGATAAAATGATTGAAGGGAAACCGTTTTACTCCTTTCCTTGTTCTTTAGAAAACGAGAAAAGATTCTGCCTTCTTTTGCATTTTTTTCTTTTTAAATACTCTAAATGCCCGTGATACTTTCATCTTTTAAAAAGAGAAGTAGCCATGAGGCTATGGCATGCACTCCATAAAGTAGATTTCTCCCAAACTCCATAAGGTGGATTCCCTTTTCCAGCTTTCACATGCTCATATCCTGCCTCCACGCTGCCTCTCTCACCCTTTGTTGACTTGAGACAGAGGTTTTTAGGGAAACAGTCAGCCTGTTTCTCCTTAGAGAGTTCTGGGTGTCTTTCCAGCTTCCACCTGAGACACTGTAAGGACAGAAAATGGAGCCATCTCCCACAGACAGCTCCGAACCTCTCACTCACATCCTCAGTGTGACCCTGGAGGAGCTGGGTTTTGTGGCCCAATTTGCCTGCCTATTTTGTAAAAGTGTCACTAGCATAAGGAAGTATATTTGGGGCCGGGGATTTAGCCCAGTGGTTCTGCCTCCTGCCTCACAAGCACAAGGGCCGGGGTTTGATCTCTGGTACCAAAACAAAACAAACAACCCAAAAACAAAACAAATGAGGAAGCATATTTGACTGAGGTATCTTACGAAGTCCTCCAGGGATTCTGAAGACGTGTTAGAGCCTCTGAAAACCAGGACCAGTTGATCAGAGAGCCGGTTATCTTAGGCTCGAGTTGTTCAGTTGGAGGAAAGAATCCAGAGTCCAGGCCCTCAGGCCCTCACCGAGGCTAAGGTTGACAAGGTGAAGACCGACCCTCAGGGTGCCTCAGCCAGGTCCGGGACTGTTTCATCCTGGCGTTTGGTACAAAGTATATCAACAGCTGTGGTGTTCTCTCTTATCACAGCTTCCGCTGTGTCCGGAGTCCCCCCCAGACCTGCCGCCCTGTGATCAACCGAGCTGAGAGGGGACTCCATGTCTGTGGCAGCTAAGAGGACAGAGATCACATGGCTTCACCAGTGTGACAGCGTGTTTGTTTATTCTCTTAAGAGTGGACTGTAACTTGGTGCTCTCGTAGCTTTGGCACTGCTGAGAGGACACAGTAGTGACCAAGGGGAAAGTCAGCTGCCTTTAGCTCTAAAAGAAAGACAGGAATCAGAGCAGGCTTATGCTTCAGAATTCTCATCCCAGAAGGCTTTATTTTGCTAGATTTACCCTTCTGGATAATTGCACATTTTCTCAACAGAAGTGACAGAAAAGCAAAAAGAAAGTCTCCGGGAGTGGTTTTTAAAATGATATTTATAAACACCGAAAGTAGGTCCAGAAGATGGAGAGGTGAGGTCTAAAAGAAAGTTAAAAATGAGTAACTGAATCCCTACTGAAAATACAATAAAGTTAAAGAACATACAATCACTGGACTGTCTAACCTGCTCATGGACAGGGAACAAAACTGTGAATTTTCGGTCATCTCCCCCATATCTAACATTTTGGATTTTTTGGGTTTACAAAGTGGATGTTTTACAAATTTCAGTTCAACAAAAATTATTCCAACTGTATTCTATGTTCACCATTTCCAAAACTTAGTAACCCGAGACCCCAAATGGAGCCTTTGAGTTAGTCTTTAGTCCTGGGAATTACTAGACACTGGCAGAAATGGAATTTTAGTTGCTGAAAAGTAAAGTTTAAAAAGAATCAGAAAAGGCATTTTAGCCAGCTTTCACACCATCTTTATTGGCAGGGGCTCTAGTGGCTGAAATTCAATTTAAGTTAAGAAATGTCAACAGCAGGCATGTTTTTAAAAGGTAATTTAAAAGAGATGGCAAATATTAATGTTCATTTTGTATGGATCAGTGGCACCCTCAATACTATCACAGTTTCTATGGATATTAGGTACACGTAAAGTATATTTCTTCTCAGAATTCTGGTAAAATGACAGTTCACTTACAGCTAGTTCACTGTTGTAAGCAAAGGAACTTACTTGAGGCTTTACCTCAAGAACACAAATGCTCAGAAAGCATACTCCAGAGGACCAGTTCTTGGGAAGAAAACTTAATGAGTACTGCAGGTGGGGGGGCATGTTCCAGAGTTATTCATGTTTCTTAAAGGAAAGAAAGCAGTGACTAAAATAAAATGGGAGGAAATATAAGCAAGCATGGCCTTGGTTCCCAATGGGAAGGCAGCTGGAATGGTGGGACGGGTTGATTGGATTCAGTTCCAGGGTTCCAGTTTCGTCGATGTGTTTCTCATACCCTTGGCTGATTTCTGATAGTCATTTAATAAGTTTACTCTTGATCCCTGAAGACTCTTGTTTGTCTTGGCCTCATTTAACTTGATTATCAATTACTGTAGAATAAAGAGAGATGTGGATTCAAGGAGGTTAGGAACTGGCAGCCAGCTTCATGCCCAGAGTTATCAATGGTGGGAGTTTCGAATCCCCATCTCAAGTCTGGCTCTTTATTGAAGAAGGAGAGGAAAATTTGATAAGAAAGCTTCGGGGACATTTCCCCTCCCTCATGGAAGACTGATGAGCTGTCACCCCACCATTTAGGGTCGTGTGGAGAAATTTGTGAACAATTGGAGGGGTTTATTGAGGACTGATCAGTTGTGAAATTTAGCGCCCAGTATTTGGTTCTTTTTTTTTTTGGTACTGGGGATCAAACTCAGGTCCTTGTGCTTGTGAGGCAGGCACCGGAATGCCCCGGCTCTCAGCATTTGTTTCTTAAAGGGCAAAGATTAACTCGGAACCAAATTTCCACATGTGGAAAAGGACACCAAATCCCTGTACTCTGTTCACCAAGCCCAATGCCCACATTATTAAAAGGCAGCTGGTCTCTTGCTTTTCGTCTCTTCCCTTCCCTTACTATTTTGATATATTTCCACTTTTGCTGTGTGTGCGCATGTGCATAAATAGCTTTCCTAAAAGCCTGGGTTTTTGCTTAATGTGTGCTCCTAATTTTTACATTGTATTTCTCTCATAAAAGCATCATGTCTATTCTGTCCCAGCACAATGCAGATGCTTAGCAAATGTTAGCTGACTCTGTCTTCTTCTAGTAACAGGGTTGGGAAATCCAGGCAAAGAATGAGTAGTTTTTGCTAACACAACTCTTTAAATCTCAGACCAGAGCTAAACTGTCCGCTAAACACCCCCTGGGCGCTCTGCTTTCACTGGGGCCTTCTAAAATACACAAAACTCTGGCAGGACTCCATTAACACTGCATAATTCAAGCAAACAATGAATGTGTTTACCCTGCCTGGCTACTGACCACCTACCTGCCCTCCCACCCCACCAGGCACGTTTCTATATATAGGAAGTCTGTTCACAGCCCTGCAGCGTGAGCCTCTCTTCGCCATCTGTGACCCAAAGGAAGTGCTGTCCCTGGCAGCATGCGTCTCCTCTTGCTTCACATGCTTGTGTTCCTGCCTCTGGGGAAGGCCAGCGGGCACTTGGATGACCACCAGAGTCCCAGTGCTCTTTCCCTCGAGCTCCTAGAAAGGAGTCACAGAGAGCTCGCCATGGCCAACCCTGAGGAAGCTGAAGATAAGCCAGATCTGTTTGTCGCGGTGCCACACCTGGTAGGCACCGGCCTGGCTGAGGAAGGCCGAAGGCAAAGAGAGAAGATACTGTCCAGATTTGGCGGGTTCTGGAAGAAGACTCAGAGAGACTTGCATCCTCCTAGGGACTTGGAAAGTGAGCACTTCCCACTCACAACCCAAGCTCTCCCTCAGCCAAAGGATGGGATGAAAGTCGAGAAATCTCCTCTCCGCGAAGAAGCCAAAAGATTCTGGCAGCACTTTATGTTCAGAAAGGGTCCAGCTTCTCAGGGTGTCGTCTTGCCCATCAAAAGCCATGAGGTGCATCAGGAGACCTGTAGGACGGTGCCCTTCAGCCAGGTATGTGTCCAGGGAGGGCACGGAAGGGTGAGAGCAGGACAGCCTGGCCAGGTGGAGGGAAGGCGACGAGGGTCCTGGGGGCCTGAGTCTCCCCTACCTCCAGACCCGGTCCTTGGCATGCATCATAGGATTTGGTAGAGCACGGACATACTCCCTGGGTTTGACTTCCCACCTCTGCATTGCTTCTTGGCATGCTGCAGACGCTACAGGAAGAGTGTGCTGCTGTTGTCCATATCAGTCATCATGACCTTGCTGATCTAGGGCTTTGTGCCATGTATTTATTTTGATGTTGGGAGAGTAAGACGATACCCTCAGTTAGAAAACTGGGAACGGATGGCAGTCACCACTCTGTAGCTCTCCTTCTGTGTCTGCGAGGCTGTGTGTGTGCAGGTCCCTCCCTCTGTGGACAGGTGAGATACACTGCACTCCTCCCCAGCCACGCTTAAACGTTACGATGCTCTTAGTCTCTGTACTTCCCCTCCAGCTGCCTCATAGCGCGATGAACATCTTCTTCAATAGTTTCCAAAGTTATTTAACGGCTAAAAAAATTACCCACAACCCTGAAGTATGCTGAGATTCTCAGTCCAAAATTGCCATATCATTTTCAGTGTTATGATGGTAAAAATGATTTCATTTCACTGACTTTTCTCATAAAATTTTAAAAACAATCTTGTTGAGAGATTGCATTTCCCCACATCCTGTTTCCTGATTCGTGTCATTTTGGCTGATCTATCATTATCACGATCAATACCACGTTACTTATTAAGACAAAGGAGCTTTCTACTAATACCTAATCCCTCTGGTCCAGGTAACTATCACACTGCACATGTTCAACTGAAATTGACACATGCATCAGGTCCTTAAACCTGGAGACCCTGAACCAAAAGTAAGGCAAGACAGACCAAGACTTAGTCTGGTAACGCTACCCAATTAAGTAGGCAGTGTTTAAAAGGGCATTGGATCTGAAGGCATTTCAGTATTCTTTCTGAAAGGCTACGGGTATGTGGCAATGACAGTCAATTATCAAGTAATAAGGACTGTTTCGTTGGACCATATGCAATTGGAAAATTGCTCCTAAAAACAAAGCCATCAAATTTCCTTTGAAATTTTTATTTTGAGTGTGATCACTTATTAACTAGAAGGTAAGATGTTTGACTCATTTTGAAAAGCATATAAAGTAGGTGTACGGGATTACGAGAGAGGCAAAGATGATGTACTATGCACAGGCACTGCAGTTCTGCTGCACGGACTTCATAGATGTGAGTGCCCTGCGGGCCCTGTAAAATCAGACACAGACTTGCTCGTGGTGTTGTGCTCTATTCTGTGATCAACTGAACAAATATATATTGAAAACTTGCAATGCTCAGTGCACACGAAGGAGAGATAAGACACAATACTTACATGATTACTACTAGACTTTTTCCCACTGGTTATATCCAACTAGATGAAACATTTGTTTGATATTTATCATGTAAGGTATTTTCATGTTAACTTGATGGTTTTCGAAAGGTTAATTTACTAATTTACTCAATCAATTAAATTTAGTTGGGGGCGGGGCTTCATGCCCTAGTAGATCCAATCTCTTGGATATTGCAAATGTACCCAACATTGGAAAGCTCTGGAAATTTTACTGGAAATTATCCTGACAAATGCACTATAGCTTCTGTACCATGCATATTAGGGAGCTGACTCAGGACGGTGTAACGGAAATGAATGTGCTTGCCTTGCAGACTATTACCCACGAGGACTGCGAAAACGTCGTTGTCCAGAACAACCTTTGTTTTGGGAAATGTGGGTCTGTGCCTTTTCCCGGAGCCGCCCCCCGCCCCCACCTCTTCCGCTCCCACTGCGCCCCGGCCAAGTTCACCACGATGCGCTTGCGGCTGAACTGCACCGGGCCCGAGCCTGTGGCCCAGGTAGTAATGCAGGTGGAAGAATGCCAGTGCAGGGTGAAGACAGAGCACGGCGCTGGGCACCGCCTGCACGCCGGCTCCCAGGACCCCTTCATCCCTGACATTTCCACTTAGAAAGCGATTCCACTGTTACCTCCGAAAGGCAAAACCACAACAGCAAAAGTGATAGCCCTTCAGCCTGCGGGTGTCCAGTGGGTGCACAACGCTGACAGGAAAGGTGGTCTGCACATGGCTCGGTTTAGAGGAAATGATATCCATCTAGTTAATGGCAAATTTTTGGGATCTGGTCTTGGCTAGAATGCTAATGAAAAAGTTTTTTCCACCTAAAGTTTTTTTTTGTGTGTGTGTGTGTGTGTGTGTGTGCCTATAAAAGAAGAACTTGACTCTGGTGATTGCTAAAGTTCTTTACACTAAAGCCCATGATCTGTTTTCTCCAAATTTTGATTAAAACCCTCTTTTGAAAGAAGAACATGGACTATAAAAAATGGACTTTTTAATAGCTTGTCAGATTAACCAGGAAGAAACATAGAAAAAGGTAGGGTATTTTCAAAAAGGATCCCTCAGTGTTGTACCTGCCTTTGTGACCCAGGAAATGCTTTGACACTGTGTGTGTGTGTGTGTGTGTGTGTGTGTGTGTGTGTGTGTTTGTGTGTGTGTGTGTGTGATATTAGGGCTTCAAACCTAATAGGGTCTTCACTCTGAGCTGTGTCCCCAGATCATTTTGTTTTTTTTGGGACAGAGTCTCACTAAGTTGCTAAATTGCTCAGAATGGGCTGGAACTACTAATTCACCGGCTTCAACTTCCCAGGGTGCTGGGATTATAGGCACGTGTGCCTTCGCTCAGGTAACTCCTTTCCTAAATGTGAGAAGTCAGTCACTTGATTGCCTTTTTTTTGGTACTCCCCAAGTAAAGTTCTTAATGTCAGGTCTTTGGCTTTGAAGAAAGAACACTGGTACTGCTTTTAGCAGTTCACAAGAAAGAGGGACAATCACTGGTAGTCAAATGAGTATTTATATCATGAGAAAGGAAAACTATATGACCAGGACCAAACTTAGAGGTCACTCCCAAGATCTAATGAGAATAACCAAGAAATTCACCAGAGTTCAAATTTAATAAATTGTGAGTGATTTGAAATTGAAGCAATTTACAGGTGAAATACTTTATCCATCTGCCTTTTTGGATTAGGTAGTAAATAAGGTTTCTCTGTTGGGTGACTTTTTACTATTGTATAAGACTTTTGACAAATTCTACTCAGCAAATGCCACAAGTTCAAAAAACATGAATGTTTGAATGAATGAATGTTTAAATGTATGAAACACTAGTGTATGTTGCATTCTGGGATTTTGTGGATGTAAATGTCTTATATTTTGCCCTTATTTGGTTTCCTCGTCTCAGGTGAAGAGTACTGTGGGGGGATTTGTCACAAGCATTTTGAAATGTCTTCATGGGCTATGACACTGGCCCGTGTGTTTCTTTGACTTCACAAGCTGCCTCTGTTTAAGTCTTTTGACCACTGACTTGTAATGGCCTCCTTTCTGCCTGTATTTATTTATATGCATAGATCACACAGAATTGACTTTCCCCAGCCAGATTGCTTTCTTATAATAATTCTTCATAGGTTTGTTGTAATAAATTACTTGATTTTGATCTTTGCATTTCGGTACATACACATGCACACACAGGCCCAAATGTTTCCAAGAGTGATGACTAATGATTTTTAAAGAAATTAATTTATATTTTAATTCTATTCCTCTTTAATTACAACATCTAACGTGATGTTCTGAAGAAGCAAATGCACTTATATTTAGTGTATATTACACAACACATCAATATAATATGAGATACACAGATCCGTATGTGGCATTTACAACAGAATATATTATACTCTTTGGTGGTCAGAGACAACTTAATTGGCCAAGATGTGGTCATAATGATAAAATTGTTAAGCATTAATGATATCCCAGCTGGTCAATATACGTTGGTGCCAAAAGCTATTGAGCAGCTGTCTAGTTTGCAACTGCCTAACTCTGATTATGTAAACCTATCTCTGCCAATTGAAATCTCCTACTCCTTTTTACATCCTTGCACATCCCTTTTATCTCTACTTGCAAATAGACTCTCAAGCCTAACTCCAGACAATTATCTTTTATTCAAACTCTGATCTTCCCTTCCCTCCCATGTAAATTCCAGATGGGCTACCCAATGGCAGGGTCAGAGCTGACATTCATGGGGTAACCTCATGAACCTCATGAAATTGGCCACTTACAATCATTTTTATTTGCAAGAAAAAGGCAATTTCAGTATAATGTGTGTGAGAGGAAACACACGATTACTGAACATCTAATAAGTACCAGATATTACACTGTGTCTTTCACAAGCAGTGTACAGCCCAATCTTTGAAGCTACATGAGGCAGGTAATCACTCTGCAGGTGAGGAAAGCAAGCCTTAAAACACTAAAAAACCCACTTGAGATTGTATGAAGCCTATTTTCTATTTGTATTAAAATATTTGCTCATTTATTTTCCATCAATTTAGATTTAAGTCTCCCAGGTCTCGATCTCTGAAAGACAGTAAGGTCATCTCTGGTAAGAGAAACCGTTTGTAGGTGGAGTTTAGCCAAACACTGCCCTGACTTAATTGCTCTATGAAGCAAGCCCTTTTGTAAATCTTGGTCTTATTTTCCTCTCCTGGAAAATTAGGTTGATAATAATCATCTCAAAATGATTATGATACTCAGGGAAGGATAGCAGCACTTCTGCATTTCAGATCCATCCCATGAGGGGTTAATTCACTCTTCGTTCAGACTTTCTTTTTTAGAAATTTATTTCAAGAAATGTAAATGACAGAAGGACACTTTAACAAGCACACAAATACCTATCACTGGAATAATATTTTGCCATCTTTTGCATTTAGCCTTTTTTTTTTTTTTTTTTTTTTTTTT